CCTAGGGAGTAGCACAGTGCCATACAAGCCCTTTGTTTCTCAGTAATGTCCTATTCCCAAGAATCTTTAGCTACTTCAATGAAGGTGGGAGGTGCAAACGGACTGCTCATCACTGCCTTCTTGCAGGTAGTTTAGGATGAACAATAAATGCTGGCCTTGCCTGCCAGGTTTACCCACATTACAAATAAAAATTGAAGATAATTGAAAGAGTTGAGTTTAAGAAAAAATAGTAGTGCAATATTTTCTCACTAATTATCTGTTATAAATTGCTGTCAAAACAAATCCATAATTTCTTCCTCACGTTGGCTAGCTCTTAGAGAAAATATAAAGCTGTAGGAACCGTGCAGCAGGGATATTGGACAATGCTGCTTTTCATACATTTATAATAGGTGAATGGATAGCACCTTATCAAGACTTGTTATCTTATTTTACCATCTGTAGCCAGTTTCTGTTTGAGTGGGTGTCTAAGTTTTTAACACAAATATATAATTTGGATAGCTTGTACCTGGTTGTGCTTGAAACCTCTTAAAACTGCACATAAGCATTAGTGAAAAAACAAAGGACATTTCTGCAGGTTTGACTTGAATGCCCTGAATGATCCCTGACAGGCTGAACACACTGCAGGGTTATACTACTTTGACAATGTAACAAGACACTTGCTATTGATGTTTTGCTTCGAGTTGCAGCTGCTTGACAAGGTCACTGCAGAGCTCAATCATTGGTTTAAATGTTTTTCATTTACAGGATTTGCGTATTAAGGCCAGTGTTTTGCCACCTGTTCCAAATTAACCCTTCCATCACCTTTTTTATGAAGCCTGTTCCCCGAATTGAACTATTTCCCCTTCTTGCTTTAATCGACCCCAGTATACTTCTCATTTCTCCCCTGTTAAATCCAAGATATACAGATTCAATATCTTTGCACAATTAGTTTAATTATTCATTGTCCGATGTGAGGATGCCACTTCATGTTATTGGACAGTGCTCTCCATCACCAAAATTGTCACTGATCATCCAGATAGGCAAAAATAATACCCAATTTCCAGAAATCAGGTTTTAAAACCTCTCTCCACACACTTGCAATTAGTGCAGAAACTTGTGGATCTTCTTGGTTACGAAGATTTAAGGTTGTCTGATCAGTTGCTTCCCTCCCTTCTCCTAGCCTATCAAAACCTTCCCTAAGGTTATTTGTCCACTATCTTAGCTCTGAATTTGAATGTTCTGTTTGCTGGCCGTCAGACTACCATCCCGTCTTAACCTGCTCTTCCTCAAGTGCTTATTATCTAGTTTCCTCCTAAATGCATGTCTGTCTCTCTGAATTCCTGTTTTAATCCCTTCATTCAGGTTTCCATAGTGTCATTGCCTGGAAGGGATCCTTAGAAAGGTCATTGTGACTTTGTACAAAGATAAATGACCCTATCTCTACTTGTCTGTAGCCTTTAACATGGAGAACCACAAAATTCCATTCAAACACTTACCCCATGCTTTCCAATTGGGTGCAACTGCTCTTGCCTGTTATCGTAATTATTGGACTGCTTATCTAATATCTAATAGATGAGCAGAAATTTTCCCCAACTAAAAGTGGGGAAGACATTATCATAACCTCTTTGTTTCCTATCCATGAATTCCATTCTTCTCCCTAGCAACTGAGGTGGAATTAAACTTTATGCGGTCTCTGGTGTATTTGATCCTGGAATAAGCTTCAATGCACATCTGCACAGTTACTGAGACCAGTTGTTTTCAGCTGTACCTCAGCTTATCTAAGGTGTCAAACAATCATCCATGCCTTTGTTACCTCCTTGGCTTTTGCATTTATTTTAATGCATTCCCAGCCAATCTTCTATTAGTTGTTTTTTGAACAGTCCCTGACTTTAATTACTCATCTTTGGTCATGCCTCCAGCTACCCAGGCTCTCAGTTCTGGAATTCCATCCTCCTCTCTCAAATCGCTCCTTTTACTCTATATCTCCTTTCCTTTTAAAGTTAATCTTCTGGGGTCACCATCATGTTGATCAATATCTCCTTATGTGGCTTGGTGTCTGGGTTATTCTATAATGTTCCTCTGAAGTGTTTGGAATGCTTTACTTTTGAAAGTGCTCTTGAAATGCAACTGGTTACGGTAATGAGCTACCACTTTCTAAGCAGTCACAATCTATATAGCATAGATAGTCTAATTGTTTTGTCATTGGATAGGGAGACCCAGGTTTTTGACCTTTTTAATGATGGAGTGTTCTATTTCCTATCCAGGGTGGTGTGTGACTAGGAGGTGGTGGTGTTCTGATGGGCTTGCAACCACATCTTTGTAGGTGGCAGATGTCATGGGTTTGGAAGGTGCTGTTAAAGAAGCATTGGCAAGTTCTATAGGGCATATTGCAAATGGTGTACACTGCTGCCACTCTGCCAGTTGTGGAGGGTATGATAATGTGTAAGATGGTACTTGGGGTGATCAAGCTAGTTACTTTTCCTGGGATGGCTTGAAGCTCTTAATGTGGTTGGAGCTGTAGTTATCCAGGCAATTTAGAAGTATTCTATCTCACTCTTGATTTTATAGATGGCGAATAAAGCTTTGACTATTCGGAAGGTATGTCACTCTGAAATTCTAAGCCTCTGACATGCACTTGTAGCTATAGTATCCCCATTCTTTATCCAGTTAAGTTTCTGGTCGATGGTCAGAATGTTGATGGAGATTTGACTATGGTAATGCCACAAAGCCAGGGAAAGATGTTGAATGATCACAGCCTGAATACATTCACCACAAATAGTTATCACACTTTATCATCCCAAGCCTGAATGTTGACCAGGTCTTGCTGCATTTAATCATGGACGACTTACAATTCCTCAGGCAGTTTAAAAAAAAAACTGAACAGTACAGTGATAACAAGGTGTAGAGCTGGATGAACACAGCAGGCCAAGCAGCATCAGAGGAGCAGGAAGGCTGACTTTCGGGCCTAGTGCAAGTGCTGCTTGATAGCACTGTCAACACCTCTGCCTATTGTGTTGCTTTCTATCATGATGCTGATAAGCTAATTATCACCTCCAATAGCTTATTTGAAATTGTGGGTAGAAGGTACCTGGGCATCCCTCTATTCTCTAGAGTTGCTGTTTAAAGGAATGCCTTGCATATTTAGTCCTGGACTATGTCTTCAGGACTGCAGCAGGGATGCTGTCAATCTCCATAGACTTTGCTGTATCCGGTGTACACAGCCACTTCTTAATGGCTTGAGGAGTGAATCAACTTGGCTGAAGGCAGACTACTGTTATGGTGGAGACCTTAGAAAGAGGCTAAGATAGATCATCTACACTCACTCCTGGCTGAAAACAGTAGCAATTGACTTTTTGCTTGTGCTCCATTATCATGGTGGGAATGTGAATTCTCGTGAAGCCTATCCATTTATGGTTGGATGTGGCAGGATGGCGAATTGATTTTTGTCTGGCTATTAGATCAGAAAAAATAGCATGCTGCTTTTGCTATTGGCATACGCAGCATGCTTCACCGCATTGCTACCTCCAATTTTGGGTATACCCAGTTGCTGTTGACAAGCTGTCCTTTATTTCAATAATGAAATGGTATTGACTCCCTCACTCAATGTCCAGTGCAGGAAAGGTACGTAGGACCATAAGGATATATAGTCCACAGCACCCTGATGACGATCCAGTTTTGAGCTGCTAGATCTGTTCTGATTGGGCCAGTTTTAGCAGTGTAATCATCTACCTCCGTACCAACACAGAATTTCATCTTCACAAGAACTAGTGGTTAGTGTTACTGGTAACAGCTGCAGCAGCCAATGTTAGTAACATCTAGGCTGATAACCAGGAATTGTTTACTGAAATCACTTCAGAGGGCAGTGTCTTGACTCCTACATGCATCAACATTTTGTAATGTCAGTTCTAGATCTATTATCCAAGTTAACCAGTCCACAATATTTTGAGACATTTGGTTGAAAAGTTGGACATTTTACTGCGTTAATGCATTGGTTAGATAATGGCCATCATCGCACTTTATATTTCTAATTTAATGTGGAAATTTATTGTCCTCATCAATCTTTTATAACATGAATCTCCAAACCTCTTGTATGACCACATCAACAGAACATTCTAAGTAAGTAGAAACTGCAACAGCTTGGTCAACATCGAGTTTAAAGGAGTGCCTTTATGAAGTAACCTGTTGAGAGATTTGGGATGGGAATTCCGAAGCTTAGGGTCCAACCAGCCTGAGGCACACTGTGATGGTTGAGCAAGTGAAATTAGAATTGTTGAAGGGGTAAGACATTAGAAGAATACAGATTTGAGGTCTGGGGCTTTTGAGGACCTTGGGAAAAGCAAAGCCATGGAGCAATTTGAAACAATGAGAAGTTGAAAGTTGAACACTGCTTAAATAGAAATCTGTTTGTTAGTGTACATTGGCTTGGCCTAGATGTGTTTTGTGTCATGACTGAGGCTTACAGGAGCAAATATGTTAAGGCCAGGGCAAATTCAGGCACTTATGACAGTGGAAAAAATTTTACTGATATCCTGATGAAGGGCTGAAGCAAGTGAGTGTAATGTTATTCCAAACAATGATGCAGTGGGCCTTAAGGATCCATGTTGCTGCTGTTTGCTATTGAACACTAAATTGTCTGGGCATGGGAACTGGGAATAATTTGAATACAAAATTTGCTCTTCTAGAATTTTTTTGAATCAAAAATCAATGATGTAGCAGGGCCAATTCATGGATCAGGTGCAAATTTTGTTAAAGCTTTTGTCATCCCCAAAAGAATCAAAAAATGTACTTTGGTTAAACTTGTGACATTTGTATTGCAGCAATGAAGAACAAATGCACTTGTTGGTAAAGGCATTTTTTTGCTAATATCCTTCCTAATCTTCAAAATTGAATTACTGTTCATGGGACATTTATCTCTTTTTATCCAAAGTCTATTTTGTTTAATATTTACAGTGGATTGACCCAATATGACAGATGCCACTTGCTCTCTCTTTGACTTTGACTTTAGTTTTCTCTTGTTTCAGGTCTCCGAGGCCTAATAAATCTAGGGAACACATGCTTCATGAACTGCATTGTCCAGGCACTTACCCACACTCCACTACTCCGGGATTTTTTCCTTTCTGACCGACACAAATGTGAAATGCAAAGTCCCAATTGCTGTTTGGTCTGTGAAATGTCTAGGCTATTTCAGGAGGTGAGTGGTTATCGGAGTAGCTGCAATGGGGATGGTGCACAATGGCCTCTACTTTATTATCACTTATTTGTAATTATGAATATCAATTGGGAGACAAGGCAACATCAGTGACTATCTCATGCCAACAGCCTTAACATGTTTTCAGAATGGTAATTTTTTAAAATAAAGCTTCTGTTTACATTTAAACATGTTTCATTAAATATTATGAACCTCTTGTTTTGGTATAAGAATTTTCTCCTGATCTAGACTGTAGCTCTTGTGAACTTCCAGGTCCAAATTGACAATTTCAACATGACAACAGAAGTCAAACAGTCACTGGTGTATCTGAGTGAATTGTTGTTGATACAGTTCATTCCATGCTAGCATATGCTAAAATCATGCCATTCTTTTCACATTACTGACTGTGACATTAAATCCAAAACTTTGAGCAAAATCTATTTCAATGATCATTGTAATGTTTGTGTTCAAGATTTTTTTATTGCTGTGCAATTTTTTTTTTTTTTTTTTTTTTTTTTAAGACAAAAGATTACCTATGAGCAGATTCTCCCTTTTTTATGACAAATAATCTTTACCTAAAACATTTAACTGGTCCATTTCCCACTTCCAGATGCTAATCGATCCATTTTCAGCATTTTTCTTCTTTTGAATTCAGTTTCCAGTGTTTTATAACCTTCTGCCTCTCTAAAGCCTGTGACCTTTTTAATATTTCAAAGCTATACAAATCCCTCAGATTTTATTTTGCTTTTATTTATTTAGATACCTTACACAAAATGGTGATCACCTTGAAAAAGATTTGCCAATAAAATAGCATATTTCAGAGAATCTCTGTTGTGACTGAAAGTGCCTAATGTATTCACATCAGAGCTAGGCAAGCAAGTATCTTTCTAGGCCTTGAATTGCCTGTAAATCACTAAAGTACAACAAAAGGTTCTACGTTTGCTTCCTTTCTAAAACTCATGAAGCCAGTATGAAATCTACTAAATTAAGCAGGATACAAAAAAATGCCTGTTGTTTTTAGCAAGCTTATTAGTGTTTTACATGTTCTGGGAGACTTTTTGCAGCCTCAGCTTTTTTTCTGGAGACTTCATGTTTTTATTGTATTCACAGGAGAGCACTGATTCATGGTTCACCAGGTTTTTGTGAAAATGAAATTTCCTCTTGATGTAGCCTTCTATCTAGTTGCCAAGGCTTCAGCTCTTTAAAACGTGTCTACTTTGTTTAATTATGGTCAGCAGCTTTGTCAGAGAACTGTGTTCTTGCATAGCTCAAGCATATTCAATCTAGTATGCTGATTTTGTTTACTTCCAACTGTTTGATTTTTAAATTATTGTATGTATAATTTTTTCATTTTTTTCAATGTTTCTTTCTTTTCATACAGTTTTACTCTGGGTACCGCTCACCACATATTCCATATAGGTTATTGCATCTGGTTTGGACGCATGCACGGCATTTAGCAGGGTATGAGCAGCAGGATGCACATGAATTTCTGATTGCTGCACTAGATGTTCTACATAGGCACTGCAAAGGTATGGACCAATGACAGAGCTTTAACAAAGCCAAGGCCTTTGTTGACCATGAACCTGTACATTCTTTCTTTCTTTTTTTTTTTAAAAATGAAAATCATGGAGTTAATCACAAATGTGGAGGATAGTCATTGGTGTTTTTGTTTGTCCTGTGTGGAGAGTGTCCCTGACAAATCGGCTGGCTTACTGAATTTTACCAGGGGCTTAAATTTTTAAGTAACCTGGCCTTTGATTAAAGTGTTTTTTCTTGTCTCATGATAAAGGCTAATTTGCTGTGTTTTAATTCAGTAAATTTTGTTTAATGCTATGCAAAGAATTTAATCATTAGAGCAAGTGTTAAAGATATGTCTGTCTGGAATTGAGTGAGGGAAGCAGATGCACAGGAGGCCAAAACTGGAGTAAAACAGTGTTTTGAAGGATTTTAGATTGGAGAGGTTGCAGAGCTGAAACCATGGGAGAATTTGAATACACAGATTGCTTTCACCAGAATATTTTTTTAAAAACTAACACCAATAGCAAATATAGCTTCCTTATTGGATGATAGCAACTATTACAGCTATCTGAAAATCCTTGTCTGTATGGAAATCGCTGAAATAATACTAAGATTGAGATGAATCATCAAGCTGTAGAGTGTTGGCAGAAGCTGGTAGAAATGTTCTGTTTGTTTTAGCAACTTCAACAAAATCTTTACTTCATAATGATGAAGCAGAATGATTTTGTCCTCAAAATGGACCTTCCCCAATTTAACACCATCTGTATTCCAATGCCTCCAACCACAAATGTTCCTTGGTGAATGAATGGGCTGTCAAGAAAAACCTGCAGGCAACCTGGTCTTTGTGCTGTGTAGCATTGACTTTATGCACTGGTATTGGGCCAAATTGTTCTATTTTTAAACAGGCTTTTATTTGAACTGTGTAGGTAGTTGTTTGTGCAGCACTGTAAACCTAGGGCCAGTGTTAGGACTGGTCGGAAGTTTAGGTTGAGTCTGGGTTTGGATGTATGATAGATCCTCCTCCAAGATCTCTGAAGCAATGTTCTAATGGATCATATATAGAAGAACTTGATCTTTCCAAAATGAAACCTGGGATTTAACTGTATTACCTATCAGTGTAGGGAGGCAGGACAGGATAATGGTGCCAATTTTAAAGTATTTCTCTTGCTCTAATTTCACAGTAATATGCATGCTAACATCTTGAGTTGCATTCATGCCTGTTGCACTGCATCAATTCAAGAAATAAGGGAGACATAAGGAAATGATCAACCAGGAAGCTTAACGTCTGTCATTGGAAAAATGCTACATTGCATCATTAAGGAGGCAATGGCAAGAAGTTTGTGTATTCATAATGCAGTCAGGCTGAGTCAGTGTGGTTATATGAAGGGCAAATGATACTTGATTTATTGGAGTTCCTTGATGTGACAAGCAGAATGGATAAAGGAGATGCAGTAGATGTAGTTAGTAGGAACTGCTGATGCTGGAGAATCTGAGGCAAGAAGATGTAGAGCTGGATGAACACAGTATGGGTGATGTGACAAAAAAGCATTCTGGTTACTGCACAAAATAGCTCATGGTATCGGGTATTATTGGCATGGATGGTGGATTGGTCATCTAATGGGACACAGTCAGGATAAGTAAATCATTTCCGGCTTCGCAAACAGTAATCACTGGAATGTCTCATTCTTTGGGGCCTCCACTATTTACGTTTGTGTTGTGATGAAGGCATACAAGATATTATCATTTTTTTGGAACCTAAACCTTAGAACTGAAGCCAAAATCTGCCTTAATTTTCAGTGAAGGTAACTTCTTTAAAAAGATCTTACATAAATACATAATTTCCAAGTGTCTGGCAAAATACCTGTGATAATTGATGGAATATTGCAAAGTTTGATGACCTACTGAGAGAATCAGCTGGGGGCACCCACTTTTAATTCTTGTTGAGAAGCTCTGAAGAAGCCAAAGTTCAGTTGGTGCAAACATTTCCTCTTCCTTTTAGCAGAGAAATCCAGTTTTCAGATCAGAGTTTTCACACTAGCAGAAGATTTACTTGATGAAGCCTCTAAGCTGAGAGAACTTGTATGGTAGTTTAAGGTGTCAGAACTGGAAGGAGGAAACAAGTTGAGGTGGTCAGAGTTTGCAAAGGCTGGGTTAACAGTTTGGTGGATGGAATAAAATGTGAGGTTGTCTACTTTACTGAAAGAATAGCAAAGCAGCCTTATTGATTTTCCATAGAGAGTGCAAAATGTTGCAGTACAGAGGGATCTGGGTGTCCTTTTTTTACGAATCACAAAAGGCTAGCATATAGGTCGAGACAGGTAATTAAGAAACGTGCAACAGTGACCTTTTTTATTGCATGGGTGAGGAGGTAATTATAAAAGTAGCAGAGGTTGGCTACAACTGTGTAAAGCTTTAGTGAGATAGCACCTGGAATATTGTGTAGTTTAGGTACATGCTTGCATTAGAGGTAGTTCAGAAAGATTCACTAGGCTGATTTCTAGAATTACCACATTGTCCGATCAGGAGAAGTTCTGTGTAGGAGTTGCCTAAGCTCATTTAGATGAAACATGGATTTTTGGAGTTTAAAGGCTAGATGTTGAAAGGATCTTACCAAGTGGAGGTGGACTAAAACAAAGGTGCATGGTATAAAAATGGACTTTCCTTTTAAGTTAGAGGTGAGTTTTTTTTTGAGGTTGTTTTGTGTTGGTAATTCTGTTCCTCAAAGTAGTGAAACCTAGATCATTGTATTCCAGGCAGCCGCACTGACCCTTGTACACGAAATATTCATCAGAGCAAGGTAGGAAAGTGTAGTTCAGGCCGCAACCAGATCAGCCATGGTCATTTTGAAAGTGGCCCGCTGGCTCGGAGAGCTAATTGACCTACTCCCCCTGTTTCATTACTTTTAAAATTAGATTATTAGAATCACTTTGATTCTAACAACTCAACTAAAAATAGCTTGTTTCTCACAAATCTCGTATCGGCTTCCATATTAGCTGCCTCCAGAAATGTTCACAGCTCAATTTTTGCAGTGCTTTCTTTTTGGGTTTCTCTTGTAATCGTTTTTTCATTAAACCTGAACAGAGAACAGGTGCACGTGAATTAATTGTAAAGGCTTATTTTTCAGTTGAGGACATTCACAAAAGGACTCTGCAAATATGTTATAATAATGAGATTAATTATCTAGTATAACTAATTATCTAGTATAACAATGGGATTAATTCAACAAATGAATGAAGTAAGGGGTAAATGCAGAGCAAAATTTCTGCAGTTTCTTCTTTCATTGATATTTTGATCCCCCAATGACAAACGGGAGAACTCCCACATGAAGAACACTCTACTAACCAGCAACGAAGTGAAAGTTGTGCCTGGGCAGCGGATGAAGTAGTAGATATACAGGCTGCTATTGCAGCACACCAGGAAAACCCTCCACACCGGACAGAGGGCATTTCCATGAGGCAGTTCAGGTTAAGAGGCATGGGCTCCTGAGTGATTTTCTGGAACCTGGTGCTGCTGTAGAATGCGTTCCAAGCAGGGATGTATGCAGAGGCGATCCAACCACATACCTGAGCGTGCTCCAGTCGGTGTATGATGTTCGATCTGAGCACCTCTGTTTGCAGGCAAGGGACCATGCCTATGCAGCCACCAGCGCACGCACACACCCCATCAACCTTCAAGTCCATGATACGGTATTCCCTTATGCTAGCCACTTGAACCCATGATGATGGAGGTGCCAGTTCCTGAGCAGCAGCTCTCTGACAGCCACTAAAGCTGCTGATGGGAAGGTGCAACCCGAGTAGACAGCATTCCAGATATTATTGGATCCTGGTAAACAGATCAGTCATGTCCTGAGCGAGACCTGGCAACCCATGTGGCCTAAGAACAGGAGCTGTGTCCCCTAATTTAGGTTGGCACTTAGTGCAACTTGGTGACATTTCTTCCACTATCTCTGAGGAGACTTCATGTAAAGATATCACCTTAAGGGTCCAAAGGTGCAAAGTCACCATTTGGGTGTGGAGAGACATTGTTGACTGACCACTCTCCTTTAATGGGATGACTCGATCTCTGGCACCGCAGTGTATCATCTGGTCTCAGAAGGTGGTAACCCACATCTTCTGAATTTTTTGACAAAGGTGGGCAAAGGATCAAAGCAATCAGTCAGTACCACAGCAAGGAGTCCACCAGCTGTTTTACGACCAGTGCCTAACCCCTGCAAGATGGTATTCTTATCGCTTATGATGCTGGTCAGGACTGCTCAGAGACCTTGGCCTCCAGCTCATGCCAGTTCACCCACCAGGGTTCCTCAGCTGGGGTGTGGTAGACCCCAACTGAAATATTTTGGTAGAAGTGGGATTCAGAACCTTGGCTCCTGAGAGACTGATGCCTAAACCCAACATCTTAGACCACTGGGCCATGCTAGCTGTATAGTGTAAACAGTCTGTTCAATGCCCAGATACTGATTAGAGTTGGTGTCGAGTTGATGACTTCTGGTGTCCACAACTGGTCCCACATGCACAAACCAATCAGTAATCTGTTGCTGGGTGAAGCTCATCATGAACACATGCCCTGGCTGGTGTGGCATCTTGGATGCCTTCTCACACTGCTTGAACTTAGCAACAGTAAAAGTGCAATTCCAAATTCGTTCAAGTAACTTTTTTGTTTTTAAAAAGTGCAGCAATTCCTTCCACAGTCCTTGGTTTAAGATGGCCTTTCTCCCATTTTTGTCTGTAATTGAATTTTTTTTTTTTTTTTTTTTAAAAATGGTCTTTACACTGAGTGATGAGGAGGCTGAAAATTTTGTTTTATTTTTAAACTATGCAGGACCAAAGAACCCACAGTTCTGGTCCTGACAATCTGCCCTTGAACTGTAAACATCACATTTGAGTTAAATAGCATGAGCAGTCTATACATCAGATAAACCAAATGCCAATTAATGTTGCAGCAAAATGTATGTTTGCTCTAGAGGAAATGAGTCTATATTGCAAGCAGTTACTCCATGAGTTCTGTTAGTCCACTACAATGTATGTTTTCACACCATGCTCTCTCTCGTTCCTTTTTTCAGTTGTGTATTTCTAATAAAATGCTCTTTAGTCCTTTTTTAGTTGAGGACAATCAAAGCTATGGAGTTTATCGTCCAAGTTCCAGTGCTTTGTCTTTAGTCTCGTCCATATACCTTGGCGGGAGTCTCACTGGTGGACCAAGTGGATATGTGTTCCTGCTTCAGTTCTATTTGCGTATTAAAGTGTACATAACAGCACTAAAGTAACCATTGAGACAAAATTTGACAATGTTGAAGCTGAATTAAGTCCACAGAGACAGATATTTCATCACCAAGTCATCCTCTTTACACATGAACAGTCCTTGACTATAGTACTGCTTCATACGGAGTCCAGCACCAGAGTGTCAGTGTCTCTGATGCTCATCCTTTTTATTTGTCAGTCAGGGCTCCCTGACTGGGGCTGTTAATCTGATCCTATTAGGAAATTCATTCTGAGGTCCAGCTGGTTAATGTCATTACAATCAGTACAGAAGCTTCACTCCTTTCCCAGAGGAATGAGGTTGCTGAACTTTGTTTCATATTTAAGGAAAAAATCTTTTGGCCCTGCAACGAACAAATGGGCCTCACTTAACCAGTGTTTCTTAAGATGTGCGGGTCATTCTTAAAGGGATGGTGTGCAGCAGCAATATGGTTGCAGGTTTCTGACTGCATACAAAAGTGATTTTTGTTTTAAGTTTGGACAGTGGGCAGATATTTACTGACTTATCCCGCAATCCTGTAGGATCAGGCAGAAGTCTTGGCAAATGTTAACTATTTGTTAATGTGTTATATGTTAATGCCATAAATGTTGACTATTGTTCATGTTTTATTGTTCATGTTGGAAATAACTGGTGAAAGAATAATTCAGCAGTATTTGTTTTTACATTTGTCTTTGTTTGAAGTTTATTCTTGAAACTCCCCATCAATAAAGACTCCTCACTGGGTTTTTATCACATTCTCATGTAGGTGATGATAATGGGAAGAAAGCCAGTAATCCAAACCACTGTAACTGCATTATTGACCAAATTTTCACTGGGGGACTGCAGTCTGATGTCACTTGCCAAGTCTGTCAGTAAGTGAATTGCCTTTATTGTAGGTTTGTAATTGAAGTCTTGTTGAATAATCTGGTGGGAAAATAGTAAACTGTACATTGCTAATATTCACCTCTTCGGTGATAACTTGAGAGCATTTGAAAATTGCAGCTTTATTAGTGAAAATGAGTGCCAGTTTTAGTATTGCTCAGTTATAAAATTCAGGTGTCAATAATGGAAATTCAAATCATCAACCCTGCCCATTCACAAACACAATCCAGTGTCCTCAATGATTATCATATGGAATTTTTTTCTGTTCTGATCCTTGTTTCATCTTTTAAATGTAATGAAATAAGTTGCATAATGTAACTCTAGTCCTATAAATATTCAAAGATTTTTAATCTTTTGTGCCAATGCATGTTGCAATTTAAGTATACGCCCAGGATGCTTGGTTCAAATGCTGCAAAAAAATCAAATTCTTCTTAGTACCACATTCTGTTCATAGATTACCAGCAGCAAATTGAATCTTTTGGGGTGGAGGGGGTGCATGTGGTGAAGGGTGGTGTCCATCCATAAATTTGTGCTAGCCAGGGTCCTAAGATTGTTGAAGTCCCAACGTAATCTTTCTTTGCCCACAAATGCTCTTTATCAAAAGAAACAAGTGGTCCAGCAAATATGTGGAAAATGTCTTTATCTTCAATTTGTTCGTGCCTTACAATGGTTTGACCTTTTTTACAGTATAAAGCATTGTCAAACTTTGAGAGTTAGCTCTGGAAAAAGCCCATCTTTTTCTGCTTATGCTGTCTTCAGACAAGTCCCACATGTTGTCAATGCAGAGAAGCCTGTTTAACCATGTTTTTGTGTCATTGTGCAAAAACTTGGAGCATTCCTGTGATCTTGTGGCTTCAGTTAGGGGAACACGCAGCTCGGTGGATGGGCATTCATTGGACGGGGTTATCAGGGTGGTGATCTTTCTTTTCTTCCATTGATACACTTTTATCTGTTCTCCTGATCAACCCCTCTGTCATATAGGCAGTTTTCTCAGCTCTCTACTGTGCGGGTGGTATCTAAACATTGTTTTGTCAAACTTTGGACTTGTCAATCACAGGAAGCATCAGCTTTTTGGTGCCATCCATGTTGGCACAGACCATGATGGTGATAAGTCCTTTTTTTGTGCCATTATAAATTTCATCCTTTTAAACAAAGGGCAGTTTGGTAAAACAGTACAGTAAAATGGCTCTGATATTCAGACAAGTTGAGTGAGACTATTTCACAGCTGTCTTCTGTCATCTGTGATTTCACACACTAGTGTGGTCTAACTCCACTCTGGTTGATTTTGCCCAGACATGAGTGCACAAGTTCAACTAATTTGAACTTCAGCCTATTATTGGCATCCTTTTATGTTCTATTTTCTATTCTGCCAGTGGGAATGACTGACAAATTCATCACAACTGGAGTTGCAGGTTATCTGAATTTCATTGCGATGTTTAATTCAAATGACTTGATAAATTATTTGTCACAATTACAATGACCTTTTAATTAAATCTAATTGAAATAATTTAACTGAAGGAAGCACAGAGACCATCCTAAGTCAGTTTGATTTCCATATTAGATACAGACTAAGTCTTCAATCAGCATCCCCTTCCTCCTGAATCAGAATTAGTTGTCTTGTCTCGTACTGTAATAAGTGTAGAGAGAAGTTTACAAGTTGCCACTTACGGCACCATCTTGGGTACCAACGCACCTAGCTACAGATCATAAAATACAAATTCTTGGCGGGGGGGAAGCAAAGAATTAGTACTTGAAGCATTGCTGCCTTTTAGCTTGAACCCACTTACATTTCTACAGCTAATCATGGTACTGCAGGATAATTGGACCGTTAAACTGAGCAGTAAATGGCAACTTTGACAAACAAAAAAGGCAACAATTTGACATGATTGCTTGAATGAAAGATGTGCTATTTAACTTGAACTTGCACTAAGCTTTAAATTGGTTTCTATTTCACAATGCTAAATCACAAGTCAGTCAGATGTGTTCCATTAAATCTGAAGCAGCTCAAAAGAGATATTGGGCTATAGCTGCCATTTTGATTCATTCATGGATATGATATTTTGGACCACTGATTGCATAGTTAATAAGCACCACCACAAACTGTTTTGAATTGCATTGTTGCTGTGTTATAACTTCTGTTCGTTAGATCATTGTTCCTACAATGACAGGTTATGTTGAATTGAGCTGCTCCGAGTGACAGGATGACAACTGATCACTATTCATCACTGACCGTGTGATAATTTTTTTTTTTTTAAATTTACTCCAGTGGTGTCTCCACTACAATAGATCCTTTCTGGGACATCAGCCTGGACTTACCTGGGTCTTCCACACCATTCTGGCCCTTAAGTCCGGGCTCTGATGGGAATGTTGTGAATGGAGAAAGCCATATGTCCTCTGGAACCACCACACTTACAGACTGTCTACGAAGGTACCTTCTTAGTGCTGATTTTCGCCGTACAGAATTTTGATTTGTGTGAATATATATGCAAGAATGGAGATATATCAGTTAATCCCTTTGCAGTACATGTATCATGTATGTTTGTGTAGTGGAATGTTTAGTATTGTTCAGAATTTTAAAGAATTTTTTAATGGTGTAAACATTTAGCATGACCCTTTTCATTTTTTACAAAGCAGTGGAATAGAGATCCAACTTTGTTTGCCTTAACTTAGTCTAACGGATCTTGTAACCAATCATTGCCTCATTGCTTTCCTGTCCCTGAAATCAGTGCCGATTATATTCACACAAGTGCCAAAGTTCTTCATCAAAAGAATAATTTCTTCTTTTTATATATATTGGCAGTTTGGACAGATCTTAAATAGTAAAAGAAGGCTCCAATCTTTCCAGAAATAACCTTCATATGTTCAATCCTGACGGAGTATCACTTCTATATTAACTGTTTAATTTCTTAAATGACTCTCCAGATTCTCAGACGTTGAGACACCCTTTTCAGTTCTTGTGTCCAAAGCCTCTAACAGCTTGAAAACCTCTACGCAAAATCACTCAACCTGGCGATTCTACAACCTAACTAACTGCCCTTCTGCTAGTGTTCCTACGCTGAAAAGACCTGATTCTTCTGAACGAAACACTCTAATCAGTAGTGACCACAATCTTTTTGTCTTTCATAAAAGTTCAACTTTAGTGAGCGCTGCATCGATTTGAAATCAGATCCTACTAGGCACTTAATTCAAATAATATGCTTTCTCAGAAATGATGTGTTCAGTTCACTGTAGTAAATGCATTCACAGAACTGAAACCACACATCTATTTTTGCCTCCACTTTTCACTCATGACATGCATTCAAACCCACCAAGGCTGCTTCTAACAGTAGTCCTCCTTTTGACTCTTGTCCAACCTTTTCTGATTATGAGGGTCATTTTTATCGTGTTAGATAAGCAGCTGACAGTTGTACACGGTGAGAAAACATTCAAGTAGTGCTCAGTCTGAATAATACTTCCAAAAGTTTTAAATTTTTTTTTTGTTTGCTATTCCTGCTACATTTTTTTTCAAAATCATTACCATTTACACTTCATGTGTGTCTTTATTAATGCATTGCAATGTTTATCCTTCTAGCTCCATATCCTTTTAATCATTCCTCAATTAGGAATGCTTAAACTAGAATCTTTGGCTTGGTTAAAAGTTCTATTCTTCAGACAATCTGTGCTTTCCTTGCGACTAATAGCCACATCTAGCTTGCATTTAATTAATACAAATGCTATTGTGTGGGACAAGGACAATTTGGAGTTGCTTTCCCTTTTAAGTCATTGATCAGTTTCCATTACCAAGTGAATAGTTTGTCTAATACCTGCCAACCTATTGATTGAGGTTGGCTAGCAACCGAGAGGTTGTTTGGTTAACTAACACTACAATTGTGAAATCAAATTGAGTAAAATCTGGCAAGTTGAGGCCTGCCAGCACAATGTATCATCAAAGTTGCAATGTTACCTAGAAAATGCAATTGGTTCACTATCTTCATTCTGGAAATAGAACAATTTTTTTCTTAACGCTGCCAAATTATTTTTAGTCTATATGTAATTCCAGTTCCTTGTGGCTATCTCTTAAAGCCCTATACACTTGGAAATGGGCAATAAACCTTGCCTTGCTAATGTCCTCTTCATCCCAGTACTTTTTAAAATAGTGGTATTAATCTGTGTTTATTAATTCGTTTGAAAGGTTTACAAGACCTGAGCATCTTGGAAGCAGTGCCAAAATAAAATGTAGTGGTTGCCATAGTTATCAAGAGTCAACAAAACAGCTTACAATGAAGAAACTTCCAATAGTGGCCTGTTTTCATCTCAAAGTAAGTTGCAGTTTCACAGATTCTGGAAGAATTTGCTGACTTTTGTGAATACAGTCAGCATTCCATTGTATGGAGCTAGTTTGTCAGAGCAGAACGTGTTTCAAGACCCTCTGAATAGCTTTTGTTTCGTATCACAAGAATTACCACTTGATGACTAAGGTTGTCAAATTCAATGTGCTAAAGTTTATTCTCTACCAGAATAGAGTTCAAGCAAAGCAGTGACACCATTTAACTGTATCTCCTGCCTGTTTCCCTTTGAAGCAGTGGGTAACTGAAGGAACACATGACCCAATGTAGAGAACTTTTCTGTCTGTATTGAAATGCATAGAGCCAGTAGCAAGTTTTAGCTTTCAAATGATGTGTACAGTAAGAAAATCTGTTTTTGTTGGATAATCATACAAATAAGTGGTGTAGCATGGAAAGAAATAATGCATTGCTCTTTTGAGCCGTTGAGAAAGTGCCGATGGTTTTCTAGCAGTTAATTAGCCAGTGTTAGCCCACTGCTGTTGCAGGTATGGACCAGTGTTTGCAATTGCTAGTTTTGTACCTCAGTATCAGCACTGCATTGTTTCATTTTAACTGAAGTAATTTCAATTTAAGACTCTTGTGTGGTTCTGTTATTAGTAGTATCTGTTGCGAAAGAGCTGGGTTGTTTTAAAGTTGAGGTGGTAGTTGATAGACAAGTCAAACTAACCTTTGTTCTGTTTGTGCAGCGTTTTGAACACTCGGCCAAGCTACGGCGAAAGATCACTACATATGTCTCTTTTCCACTGGAGCTGGACATGACACCATTCATGGCTTCCAGGTACCAGTATTTCTAGATAACCCTCATTCCTGAAATCCTCATTTGGTTACAAGCAAACAAGAGATTCTTTTTCTTTTTACATAATACCTTTGTACTCCCTTGGTGTCCCAATGTACTTCACAACCAGAGGAATACTTGATCAGCACATTAAAGTCTGACACAAAAAAATGAATTGGTTGTAGTGGTATTGCCTAGTGAATGAACAAGCACTGGATGAGGTCCTTGCTGTTGATTAGGGGTGGGGGGAAGTTCCTAAGAGGTGGTTTTATGCTGCCCAGAGAACTTCTCAATTCCTGTTAGTGGGAGGCGATGGTTCTATCCAAGGAAACTTGGACACAGATTAATTTGAAACTTTTTTCCTAGCAGGTTCAAAGCCTGATAAGGTGCACAACTGGAGTGTATATATACTTGAGTATCAAAACAACCACCCTCTATCTGTAATCTTCAACTTCTCCCAACAGAGGGTCAGCATTGTTGTGGAATGTATGAGGAGCAAGCTAGCATTTTTGTTTTTGGGAGAGTTGGGGCTGGAATGGTGAGTTGTTAATTTTTAAATGTGAGAAGTTCAGGGTGTGTTAATGTTAAATGAGGGAAGTTTAGCGTTGTCAGGGTGATGGGATTTGGATAAACATTTTGGATGAGGGAGGGAGAATAGTGTTGTCAGTGGGGCATAATAGAGAAGCTGAATGTTGTCAGTGGGGCAAGTGATTTTTGAGGTTGACCACTCCATTTAGAAACCATATAAGTCAATGAACTAAAGACCAATCTTGACTGTGTCTTGAGTTATCTTGATTGGTTGGTTTTACTGGAGTTGTACTTATCACTTCACCCGAATTGCTTATCACAGTAAGCAATGGGTGCAACTGTCCAAGACTGATGAGCATCTAGATTAATGCCCACCAAAGTGTTTCACTGCTTAATGTACTTGGTGCTTTTGTATTGTGGATCACTGCCATCATTGCAGGCATATTGAGAGACCCAAATTAATATTACTTGGACTGTTGCAGATAGCAGTTTTTTTATCTGTTTGTCTGGTTTGGATCCAGATCCAAGTGTGTGTAGTGCAAGGCCTGTTGCATCTGAGTGCCAGAACATTGTTAGTGCGTGATGACTATTTTTTTTTTTTTTTTTTTAAATTTCTATTTTGCTTTTGATTTCTAGCATGTGCAGTTCTTTGGCCTTTAAATGACTACTGGGTTTCTCACAATAAAAACACAATGCTGAAAATATTTAAAACATCAGGCAGCATCTGTGGAAAGAGAAAAAGTTAACAGTTCAGACCTCTGACTTTTCACGTTCTGACAATCTCAAGATACTCAACACTTTTTTCTTTTTTAAGAACTAATGAAGCATTTTCTAAAGTGTAGTCACAGTTGTGATGTAAGAAATATCGCAGCCCATTTTGTGCACAAAGTTCCACAAACATTTTTACTTAGTCATTGAGGATAAATAGTGGTGTAGACCCTCTTTTTTTCAATGCAGTATTGCCCACTTGACAAAATAGCTGGATGAACACAGCAGGCCAAGCAGCATCATAGGAGCAGGAAGGCTAACGTTTCGGGCCCAGACCCTTCATCAGAAAAAA